CCTCCTCCCACCTCAAGCCCCACCCCCATCTCCTACCTACTAACCTCATCCCGCCCCCTTGACCTGTCCGTCCTCCCTGGACCGACCTATCTCCTCCCTACCTCCCCACCTACACTCACCATTACTGGCTCCATCCCCGCCTCTTTGACCGGTCTGTCTCCTCTCCACCTATCTTCTTCTCTATCTATCTTCTATCCGCCTCCCGCTCTCTCCCTGTTTATTTCAGAACACCCTTCCCCTCCCCCATTTCTGAAGAAGGGTCTAGGCCCGAAATGTCAGCCTTCCTGCTCCTCTGATGCTGCTTGGCCTGCTGTGTTCATCCAGCTCCACCTTGTTATCTCAGATTCTCCAGCATCTGCAGTTCCTGCTACCCCTTTACTAAATGGTTCTAGGATATGAAACTTCAGTTATGAGGATAGATTGGAGAAATTGGGACTGCTTTCCTTGGAAATTTTTAAGATCTTGAGGGGTCTGGTCACAGCAAATAAGAAGAGGAGAAACTGTCCCTAATTGTAAGAGTATCAAGAACTAAAGGGCACAGATTTAAAGTATTTTGCACAATAAGCAAATCTGAGGTGAGACTTTTTCTCCCCCACAGTGATTAGGTTCTAGAATACACTGCCAGGAACCATAGTGGAGGCTGATTTAATTGAGGTATTCAAGAAAGTAGGGTTATGGGGAAATGGCACGATATTGGTATCAAGTCAAAATGCTCAGAGAGGCAGTGCAGACATAATAGACCATTGACCGAATGGCCTCCTTCTGCACAGTAACAATTCTATCATTTTGTGAACTCCCAATCTTATAGGCCCAAATTAATCAACTTCTCATCATAGGACAACCTTCTTATCCTAAGGATAGTTCAAGTGAATATTTGCTCTATCGAATCCAATCCTTAAATTTGGAGACCAAATTCTACAGTATTCCTGTTGTCATCCCACCAAAGCATTACATGTTGCAAAATGGTTTCATTTTTGTACTCCAATCCCCTTGCAGTAAAACCCAATCTGTCAATTGCCTTGTCAATTTCTGCATTGCATGTTAAGTTTATTTCTTGTTCAGATATACCCAAGTCTCCTTTGAGACTCTTTACACACCCTTTCAAACCATTTCCTTTTCTATTCTTTTGAATAACCTCACTTCTCTACAATATGCTGTCTGCAACCTTGATGCTCATTAAGTTAACTAATACATATCCCAGCAATTTACTTGTTGGGTTCTGGAAACTCTGACAATATTTCATCAGGGTCGCCAACGGAACTAACACTTGCATCGTGAGCAGTAGATGATGTTGATGGCTAAGGAGATAGTGATTTAGGTGCATTAGCCCTCTTTAATAAATTTCTGCTTGCATGCTTTCCTTCTCTCATGCATAAATTGGGAATGCAGAAGGCGAAACTCATTACAGTTTGTAAAGTAAAGCAGCTTTACTGATCATCAAATTTCAGGACATTTTTAAATCTTTCAGCAGCAGACACCATGGATCTCTTTCAACCTGCTCCTCCTTGTCATCAGCTGATTTGGTATCCACAGATATCTACTTACCGATATATCTACTTTTTAGATCCCATTCAGTACCTTAAGATGAGAAAAGGGACATGGCTCTGTAATTTACTTCCTCTCATAAAATTCCTTCATATTTTCCACGAGCATAAGTCCAGAGAAATATGCACCTTCTGACCTCTTTAGTGAAAACCATTCATACAAAGCACAATCCAAGTCTTCAAGCATAGGAGTATGAAGTGTATGATGTGCTCTCCTGCTTTTATCACTTTTTGATTTCACAAAGCACCCTTTAAGCTCTCCACTTTGCACTTTAAGATCTTGTATTGTTGACGAACTAACATTGAATTCATGCATATGTTGTGATTTTCACCTTTTTTCAGTCTTTCACGTATTTCTGCTTTCTGTTTCAAAGTGAAAACAATGCGTTTTCGCTTTAGTCCTTGTGTGGGAGTCTTCCTACACGACAGAGGACTGCTGATGAAAGGTTTTGGATATAATGTGATCACAAATTCAACTATCCGCTTTTGTAATGGTGCTTGTGTGAGGGAGAATTAATGCACGGTGGGAATATATGCACATTGGAGTTCAAATAGACATTTTTTTCAAGAAACTCTATAAATTGGTAAATTTTCTTTGAAATCTTTGCTGGTTGCATGAGAATTCTGGGTGCTTGGGTATCAGATAATGGGGAGTTTACTGTAATAGATTCCAGCACTTTCCCATTGACTGAAGGCTCACAGCTCTCTGTCTTCTCTTTCCCTCCTGTTATCAATAGCAGTTATACATTTGTTAACTTAAAATCTGCTGGGTCTGTTTCAAAATCTACAAAATCATCGCCACTGCATTTGCCATCTCTGCAACCATCTCTTTTAGAAATCTTGAATGTAGACCGTTAGGTCCTAGAAATTCATCAGATATTAGTCCCTTGACTTTTTGTTTGCTCACATCAATTACCTTAATTTCCTCTCTCTCCTTGGCACTTTTGTTACCCTTGAGAGCTGGTATGGAACATGCATCTTTACTTTGACGATTAATGAAGAATGTGTTCAATGTCTTTGCCATTTCCTTATTGACATTATCATTTCTCCTATCTTTACTTCAAAAGGATCAAAGTTTACTTGAGCTACTCTCTTCCTTTTTATATAGTTGTAAAAAGCTCCTACAAAAATGTCTGGATGATTTACCCATATTCTTTTAAACAACATTTTCATGGCCCTTTCCTGGTTTCTTAACTCAGGCTTCTAAGGGTAGAGAATCCCGAAGCTTCACAATCCGCTAGGGAAGAAATCCCTCATCATTACAATCTTACAATACCCACTCTTTAATTCGAGATTGTGCACTATCGTTCCAAATTCACCAGCCAGGGGAACATCCTATCCCATTACAAACTGTAAGAATCTTAGATGTTAAAATTTTATCTCCCCTCATGTCTTTAAGAAATCGAGAATACAGGCACATTTTCATCAATCACTCCTTTCAAGACAATCCCACTATCCCAGTGACTTGTTGGTAAACCTCTGGTGCACTCCATCCATGTCAAAATACATTTTTCATTGAACTAAGTAGACCAAAACTTAACACCAGGTACAATCTCACCAAAGCGCTACACAATCGCAGAAAGATTTCTTTACTCCTGTACTTAATTCCTCTTGCAATAAAGGTTAGTATACAGAAATAAGATAATTGTTTCATGCTGATATTGAAATGTACATGAATAGGTTTAGAATAAACAAAACGTAGCACCTCTTCTGAACATGCTGGGAAACGTCATTCAATTCTTGAGGTAATACAGCTAAGAATGCAAGTTGTTAAAACTTGTCTCTCCAGAATATTTGGTGGTGGCGGTGCAGGGCACAATGGCAACCACATTTTCTGGAAAAAGGCTTAAAAATTATATTCTTAAACTGCATTTTTGCTATGGTAGCTCTTGTTGAGTTGCTTGTAAATATTGTAAATTATGCCAGAATAACAGATCAACTTGGACGTTGATTATAGGTTTCAATGGAAAATAAATTCAGACCTTTTTACAAGAATAATGTGTGCAATTAGAACTTCATTGGCTTTAATGAGAAAATGTTTGTGACCTGAATAAAAGTACCCGTCAAAAGTTTATCCGAATTCTGTCCTTCTTTAACTCAATTTGTGGTATTTTCAGATGACTTTCTTTGTATTTCTAATAAGAACCTTCTGGTGCTAATTCACAAGGTGTGAACCACAACTTACTTTTTTTTAAATTTCATTCTAATACAAGCTGATGGAATACATCATAAGAATTGATCATAGTCTGTACAGTGCAGGCAAGGAAGCTTGAGCGCGATGAAAAATAGGTGTCAAAGTTGGAATTTGTGGTGTGGATTTGGTGCAGACCAAGAATCATAGAATCCCAACAGGGCAGAAAGAGGCCATTCGGCCCATTAAGTCTACACAGACCCTCCAAAGAGCGCCCCACCCAGACTCAGCCCCAGCCCCCCACCCTATCCCCACAACCCTGCATTTACCACGGCTAATCCACCTAGTTTGCACATCCCTGGACACGACAGGGCAATTTAGCATGGCCCATTCACCTAACCTGCACATCTTTGGACTGTGGGAGGAAACCGGAGAACCACCCTGATACAGGAAGAACATGCAAACTCCACAGAGACATCAAACCTGGGTTCCTGGCACTGTGAGGCAGTAGTGTTAACCGATCAGTCATCATGCCACCTCTTTTTTTCGCTTTTTTTAAAATTCTTTTTATTTTTTTTATACTTTCATCAGTTTTCAAAATCTGGAGGTGGGTGCCCAAAGGGTCCTCATTATACTCGGTTTCATTACCTCCACTTTCGATAGGTTATGAACAACAACTTTTCTGATATACTTTATCAGCTTGTATTAGAATGAAATAAAAAAAAAGTTGCAATTCGCATCATGTGAAGTAGCACCAAAAGCTTTTTTTTTGTTATTAGAAATGCAAAAGAAGGTCACGCGAAAACACTGATTGAGTAAAGGAGGGCAGAATTTGCAAAGCCTTTGACAGGAATCTTTATTCAGGGTCACAAAGATTTTCTCATTAAAGCCAAGGAAATTCTAAATTGCACATACTATTTTTGTTTAAAAAGTCAATTTATTTACATTAAAGCCTATGTTAAATGTCCAAATTGGTCTCTTATCCACAATATTTACAAGGAACTAAATTCTAAATGACCATCATGGGAGCCACCATACCATAAATGAAAATTAAGAATTTTTTTTTGACACCTTTGCTAGAAATTGTGGTTGCTTTATTACACCCTACATCCCGAAACAAATCAAAATATTCTGGAGGGAAAATGTTGCAGAATTTTTCAGAAATATATGGAATAACATTCAACTCTCAAATTCATGCATTAACTTGCAGGGATAGTTTGGTTAGCCATTATACACCAACCATTATCATTCAATTTTGCATTGTATTACTGCTAATTTTATACCCAAATAGAAACTATCCCTAAAATCTCAACAAATAGGACATGGACTCTGAGTAATATTTTGAAAAAAAGCAAAGTAAGAGAAACTATTGTTGTCACGCTGCAAATCCTGAGTGACCTATTCCCAGCAACGTGAATCCTTGCATTTATTAACAAAACCAGCATAATTTACAAGTGAAATATGATTGTCAACCCAAATTCTTGCAAATATTAAAACACTTCATTTATTAAACACAGTACACTTTAAAAAAATTTGATCCAGATACACGCTTTACCCGAAAAAGTGGTGTAGCAAGCCTCCCTGCTAACACTGAATTCTTTCTCCCTTGAGATAATGGTGGTGCTTGCAGAGGTCGTTTCATAACAGATTCTGTAATTCTCAACATAATCAACAACAGCTGCTCCCTTTAGGAAAAAGTAGAAAAGTAATAAATCAGATTTCTAAGCCATGACACCAAAGGCTCAAATTTTGAGATTCTATTTTCTAAAAAAAGGCTACTTTAACCAATTGGTACGCAAATGTATTATGTTTATGGTATCAGATTTGTAGAACAATGGTATCAAAGTTCATTCACTTTCAGTTGCATGACTACTAGAAGGATTCACTGAAGATAGTCTACTGCTAGTGGATTAATACTGTGTTGGTTCCAGTTCAACTGTTATTAGCGATGCAATATTTAGAACCTCATGTACGCTGGTATATTGCATCATCACAATACAAACTGGAGCCATCCACACATACCTAATGGAGTATCAAACAGTATCAACCAACAGTAGAATAATACATGCCAAGATATACATGCATTCCACAAGATAATTGCCATCTTACTCTGCCTGAATTATTATAATCTGGACAGAATAAATTATACATTATAATATTTATTTTAACTTGATCTCTTTGGAATTCTGTAGTTGACCAATGCCAAATTTAAAGAAAACAGAAACTGACTGTCACACTTCCCATTTACTATATCAGTAAAACGTCCTTGTCCAAAAACGGAAGGAACAATGGACGGTTAAATTCAGAATTTTACAGACGCTGGTCTGCAAAAACACGTGCTGTGATCTTTTTGCAACTATTTAAGAGCAGCATAACTCACTGGTTTTACTTCCAACATCCAGGTGAATTGCATTTTTCACACAAATGCAAAAATTGAATGCTGAGATTCTAAATAATTCAAAATTGCAGGTTGACTTTTTGATTTTGCTAAGATGACAACAAGGGCTCCTGTGGCAAGTAGCAGCATCCCTACCTCTGGGCCAGAAGGTCTGGGTTCAAGAAGAAACAAGGATCAAGCCTGGAGGCTTGTCACAAAATGTCTGAACAGGTTGTTGAAAAGTTTTTTTAAAAGAAAATACTTTTTCTTTATACTACATTCCCTCTATTTACAATTTTACATTGGACACTACATGAGATGGGAATTTTGCACCATGTTTAACAGCAAATAACCTCATGAACCACTCTCTTTGCTGTGCCAAAATGTTGATCAGAAACTTGAAATAGCTCCAGTGTACATGGCAGCTACTCTTATGGAACATCTAACAATGGCATGTCATGAAAGAGGAGAAGGGAGAAGGTTCCAAGTTAGTCATAATTATAGTCTAACCGTTAGTGTTTTTATGCGTTGAGCTACAGAATGAGATCACCAAAACTAATTTGAATGAATGTATAGTGTCTGTTCCAACATCACATTCACACAACCTGTTTAAGCTATGAAATTTATAGGATTTGGTCATAAATAATTCCGAACACAGGAATTTCTGAAAAAAGAAACCTAAATCCTTCTAGTTTGCATTCTACTATTCTGTTGTCACAACAAGCGAGTAAGTGACAGATCAGAGAAAATCAATCTCATCAACTTGTCATCAGAAAACAGGACGTGATGGCTGAGTGGTATTATCACTAGACTGTTAATCCAGAAATTCAGCAAATGTTCTGGGGACCTGGGTTCACATCCTGCCGTGGCAGATGGTGGAATCTGAATTCAATAAAAACTATCTGGAATTAAGAATCTATTGATGACCATTCTTTCTACAGTCAGAAAAACAGATCTGACTAATGTCCTTCAGGGAAGGAAATCTGCCATGCTCACCTAGTTTGGCCTACATGTGACTCCAGGCCCACAGCAATGTGGTTGACTCTCAATCGCTCTCTGAAATGGCCCAGCAAGCCACTCAGTTGGATCAATCACTATGCAGTCTCAACAAACAAATGAAACTGGATGGACCACCTGGTGTTGACCTAGGCACCGAAAAAGACAACAGCAGAAACAGCCCTGTTGACCCTGCAAATTCTTCCTTACTAACATCTGGGGTCTTATGCCAAAATTGAGAGAACTATCTCAGAGACTAGTTAAGCAACAGCCTGATATAGGCATACTCAAAGTGTAAAATATACTGAGTGGTGGATTTCAATGTCCACCACAAAGAGTGGCTTGGCAACAGGACCACTGATCTAGTTGGGTGGGTCCAAAAGAACATAGCTGCTAGACTGTGTCTGCAGCAGGTAAGGACAGAACTAAGTGGGAAATACATACATGGCCTCATCCTTATCAATCTGCCGCCTGCAGATGCATCCATATTCTATTGGTAAGAGTAAGCATCCCACAGTCCTTGTGGAGACAAAATCCCACCTTCACATTGAGAATAACCTTGATCGTGGTGTATGGTACTATCACTGTACTAAATGGCTCAAATAGATCTAGCATCTCAAGACTGGGCATCCACGATGCACTATGGGCCATCAACATGCAGCAGAATCTGCAACCTCATGGCCTGGCATATAATCCTCTTTCAACCATTGCCATCAAGCCAGGGGATCAACCCTGGCTCAATGGAGAGTGCAGAAGGGCATGCCAGGAGCAGCATCAGGTATACTTAAAAAGGTCTCAATCTAGTGAATCTACCACACAGACTACTTATCTGCCAAACAGCATAACCAGCAAGTGACATTCAGAGGTTGTTGAGGTTGGTTGGCTCGCTGAGCAGACGTTTCGTTACCATGCTTGGTAACATCCTCAGTGCAGCCTCCAATGAAGCGTCGGTGTATTTTCCCGCCTGGTTTTTAAACTCTGGGGTCCATTGAGATGGATTGCCTCACCCCTGGTTTTCCTTCGTAGTGGAATGTATATAGGGTTGAGTCCAATGTGTTTATTAATAGCGTGCTTCATGGAGTGCCATACTTCTAGGAATTCTCGTGCCTGTCTCTGCCTAGCCTGTCCCAGGATCTTGGTGTTGCCCCAGTCGAAGCGGTGGTTCTCCTTCTCCATGTGGATTGAGATGAGTGAGTATTGGTCGTGTCTTTTTGTAGCCAGTTGGTGTTCGTGTACTCTTGTTGTTAGTTTCTTTCCTGTTTGTCCGATGTAGTGTTTCTCGCAGTCTCTGCAGGGGATCTTGCAGATAACATTGGTCCTGTCCATGGTGGGGAGTGGGTCTTTAGTTCGGGTGAGCAGTTGTTGTAGGGTTGACGTGGGCTTGTGTGCCACTCTGATGCCCAGCGGTCGTAGGAGTCTTGTGGTGAGTTCCCATGTGTTTCTGCTATACGGTAGTGTGATGAGTGTGTCGGGGCATGTAGTCTCTTCTGACGCTGTTCGTGTAGGCATCTTCTGGCCCAATTCTTTGGATATCCATTATCCTTGATAACCTGGTAGAGGTATTCTTCTTCCTCTTGGCGTAGTTCTGTGTTGCAGTGTGCTGTTGCCCTTTTAAATAGTGTTCGCACGCAGCTTCGTTTGTGCGTGCTGGGATGTTTACTGTCGAAGTTCAGTACCTGGTCTGTGTGTGTGGTTGTTCGGTGTACTTTTGTTTGCAGTTCCCCATTTGTCTGGTGTTCTACTATGACGTCCAGGAATGGGAGCTGTTTGTCCTCCTCCTCTCTGGCGAAGTTTATTCGGTGAGGGTGTTGATTACAAGTTTGTGTGTCCCCTCTAATTTGGTCCGTTTAATGACGACAAAGGTGTTGTCTACGTAGCGTATCCACAGTTTTGGTTGGATTTGCAGAAGGCCAGTCCTTTCTAGTCTTTGCATCACTGCCTCTGCTAGGAGTCCGGAGATAGGTGATCCCATGGGTGTCCCGTTGATTTGCTCGTATGTTTGGCTGTTGAAAGTGAAGTGGGTGGTGAGGCATAGGTCCAATAGTTTGAGCATGTTGTCCTTAGAGATGGTTTCACTGGGGTCGTGCTCTTGTTCTAGTAGTGTTGTCATTGTTTCCCTTGCTAGTGGTATGTCTATTGATGTGAATAGGGCAGTGATATCATGGTCTCTTCGTCCTCTATCTTTATGTCTTTGATGGAGTTGAGGAATCCTTGGGCTGAGTGGATAGAGTGGGGTGACTTGTTGACTAGGTGCCTGAGTCTTCTTTGTAGTTCTTTGACATTCAGAGCTAAGCAATCCCACAACCAATGGATCAAATATAAACTCTGCAGTCCTGCCACATCCAGTCACGAATGGTAGTGAAAAATCAAACAACTCACTGGAGGAGGAGGATCCACAAATATCCCCATCCTCAATGATCGAAGAGCCCGATACATAACACTGCAAAAAATAAGCTGAAACATTCACAACAATCTTCAGTCAGAAGTGTCAAGTGGATGATGCATCTTTGCTTCGTCCAGTGGTCTGCAGCATTACAGATACCAGCCTTCAGCTGGTGATTTACTCCACGTGATATTAAGAAACAGTTGGAGGTGCTGGGTACTGGAAAGGCTATGGGTCCAGACAACATTCCAACAACAGTACTGAAGATTTGTGCTCCAGAACTTGCCACTCCCCTCGCCTAGCTCTTCCAGTATAGTTATAACACTAGCATCTACCCAACAATGTGGAAAATTGCTAAAAAGTGATTGAATGCGTCATCAATAGTGCTATCAAGTAGAACCTGCTCAGCAATAACCTGCTGAATGATGCCCAGTTTGGGTTTCACCAGGGCCACTCAGCTCCTAACCCCATAATAGCTTTGGTTCAAACATGGTTAAAAGAGCTGAATTCTAGATGTTAAGTATGAGTGAAACCCTTTACATCAAGTTCACATTCAACTGACTGCACCATCAAGCAGGCCTCACAAACTGGAATTAATGGGAATCAGGGAGCAAACTCTCCAATGGTTGGAGTCACCAGCATCTGGGAAGATGGGTGTGGCTATTGAAGGTCAATTACCTCAGCTCCAGGTCATCTCTGCAGGACTTTCTCAGGGTAGTGTCCTAAACACAATCATCTTCAGCTGCTCCATCAATGACTTTCTCTCCATCATAAGGTCAGAAGTGGGGATGTTCTCCGCTGATTAGACAATGTTCAGTACTATTTGCAACTCCTCAGATATTAAAGCGGTCCACGTTCAAATGCAACAAAATCTATATAATATCCAGACTTGGGGTGACAATGGCAACTAACATTTATGCCACACAAATGCCAGGCAATGACCATCTCCAATAAGAGACAAGCAAACCACCACTCCTTGACATTCAATGGTGTTGCCATCACTGAACACTCTGCTATCAACATTCTTGAGGTTACCATTGACCAGAAACTCAAATGGACTTGCCATACAAACACAGTGGCCTCAAGAGCAGGTCAGAAACTAGGAACACTGCAGCAAGTAAGTCAACTCCTGACTCCCCAAAGCCTGTCCACCAAGGCATAGGTCAGGAGGGTGATGGAATACTCCGCACTGACCCAGGCTGGTGCAGCTCCAACCATGCTCAAGAAGCTTGACGCCATCAAGGACAAAGCAGCCTGCTTTATTGGCACTTCATGCACAAGCATCCACTTCCTCCATCACTGACACTCAGTAGCAGCAAGTGCGCATTATCTACAAAACGCACAACAGAAATTCACCAAAGATCCTTAGACAGCCCCTTCTAAGCCCATGACACTACCAACTAGAAGAAAAAGAGTAGCATATACATGGGAACACCACCACTTGCAAACTCCACTCCAAGCCACTCACCATTCTGACTTGGAAATATACTGTTGTTCCTTCACTGTTGTTGCGTCAAACTCCTGGAATTCCCTCCTTAAGGGCACTGTTGATCAACCTACAGCATGTGGACTGAAGCATTTCGAGGCGGCAGCTCACCACCATCACCTTCTTTAGGGCATACGGGGATAAATGCTGGCCCAGCAAGCAACACCCATATCCCACAAGTGAATAAAGAAAGAAAGCCCAGACTTGAAGCAAGAAAAAAAATATTGCTTTTCAAGGACACCTGATACATTTGGCAGACCACTTCTTAAATGATTTAAATTGCATTCCAAAATATTATTGTCAAAAATGCTTAAATAAGTCAACCACATTTTTGCAGAGTTGCAATACAAAATTCTCATTTTACCAGGTTTTCTTATTCATTGTTGAGTGGACAACCATGTATCTATAGATGTTGAGAACACGTTTACACATATCTACATGCTCATCCAAGAGGACTCCAATTTCGTTGGCAGGTTCTAGCAGTAATATATTTGCTGAGTTGGTTATAAAAACCTGCAATATAACAACATCATAAAAATATAAAGACGAGTAAACGAATTTCAATTTATCATGCAATGGATATGGACTACATAGAATGCATAATTAAGAGAAAAAGATATCTCCAAAATTAAATTTAGCAACATTCATCTGCCAATTCATTAATTGGCCAATTCACCAATGCCATTACAAATATTTAAATAGTGGTTAACTTAGAGAAACAGTGCAATTTTGTAACTGACTCGACAACAAAGGGAAAAAAAAACCTTTAAGCGTACCTGTAGTGATGCCTGAACACCTGCACATACATTCTTCTCTTCTTCTTCTATTTCAGGAGCATTGTTAATTGCATTCTGGTATGATGAATTCCTTGTCCAGCTAAGATTCCTTACATGACCTGAAGCTTTATTCATTTTGTCCTAGAAGAAAAGTGATATACAAGATACATTTGATGTTAGAGTTCTGAAGAAGGGTTACCGGACTTGAAATATTAACTCTGCTTTTTCTCCACAGATGCTGCCAGGCCTGTGTTTCTCCAGAAATTTCTTTTCTTTAAATATACGTTTCATGTCATTGCTAATAGGGGAGATGTCAGAGGTAGGTTCTTTACACAGAAAGTGGTGGGCGTGTGGAATGTGCTGCCAGCAGTGGTAGTGGAGTCAGATACTTTAGAGACTTTTAAGCGACTCCTGGATAGGCATATGGATGATAGTATAATGTAGGGTATGCAGGGTAGTTTGACCTTAGTAGGGTAATAGGTCGGCACAACATCATGGGCCGAAGGGCCTGTACTGTACTGTGCTGTTCTATATGTTCTGATTATAGGAATAGTTTTTTAGTTTTGCTGTAAAAACTCAGTTTCATTGAAGCTTTTCTTCTTGCAGTCGTCAGGACATTTTACAGGAATACCAATTCAAGGGGAGAACAAACATTTATACCGCATGAGAGGATAGCGTTGACTGGCTCGCAAGTGGAGTCTGATTGATAGAGGTGTTGCCATGGTGGATGTTACTTTTAATGTTGATTGATAGGTAACATCCAGGCTTTGTTCTAACTTTTCCCAGGTAGGTTGGCTGATTGATCAACCCCCATTGCCCCAAGAAACGAATGAACAAATGGCTGTCATCGATGTTGCTGAATTTTAACAGGTGCAGTGTGCGTACATGCTCTGTGTGCAAAAAAAAGGGCCCCATATATTAAAATATATAGCTTCCGTTCACACAAATGGACCACAATGCAAGCCTGACTGATGATCTTAAATCCTAACTCCTTGCACATTCAGGGTTATCCAATAAATATTGTCCAATTGCAGAATCCCATCTAATATTAGATAATAATTGATTGTAATGCGAGTTTTGCAAGTGCAAGATGGTTTGGTATGGTTAGGACCTTGCTTGAAACAAATTACTCAAGGCATATTTACAAGATTGCGAGTACAAGTTAATCTATAGTACGTGGAATTGTAAGAATCCCTGATGAGTAAAGTGAGGTTTGCAGTACATGGTAGTAGGAGAAAACCTCTGGCCGATTTCTCAACTTGAACATCAAAGAAAGAGAGCTCATTTGATTGCTCCATTTCAAACATTAATCTGAGTGTAGGATACAGCCCATTAAAACATTGAAATACTTACATGCAGACGCAGATTTAAATATCATAAAAGTACAATCACCATGTAAGCAAACATGCAAGGAGTTGAAAGCTAAGTGATATAGTGTTGCAGCAAAGATGTTAATGGCTTCTTTGAGGGTCATATGGGCTCCATCCTGCACTCAAATTCAAATTCAAAATGGAACAATCAAAAGATCCTCCTTTTCTTGATGGCCTAGTTGTGAAATTGGCCTGCTTCCAGTGCTAACTCACTGTCCAGTATCCAGTGGGATTCCTACACTTCTACGCTATAAGATTGGACTTATGAGGAACCTTGTAAAAAGGGACTGAAATGTTTATTCAGAATGCAACTTGACACTGAAATAAGGAACAACAAAGCCTTTCTGTGGGATAATGGGCTATCCTGATCAGAACATTTTTCGGTCTATATCATGGAAACTCCATAGCAGCCACTCTTCATCCTAAAAGGTACCCAGTCTACCTCAATGTTACCCAAAGATAAGATACCTCAAATATTTGAACAACAGTTGAAGCTAGTTGTTTCACCCTGCTACTATGCAGTAGCACACAAGTGGTGTTCACCTCTAACAGGACCCTGCCATCAAGACAGGAGTTCTGTTGATCACACAATAAGTAATGTGGTCTATGAATTTTCGTGCTGGTGTGTGCAACAAAGTACTGACCATATCCAAACAGTCCACACTTGCAAGAATTGCAACATGTCTAACATAGATCTGATCCTTCAATTGGAAACATTTGCTGGATATTCCACAATCTGCAAGTAATTATGTTGTCAACAATTTAGGATCGTTAATCGGGCTCACAATGTGGTACACTTGCGAATACACAGGAAAGAATCTGCAAGTGCATTGCGTCTTTTTCAATTCAACAAAATAGGTGACAGCCATTTGCTCATTCATTTCCTCAAGGTAATGCCCAGGTCAGAGTCAACTTGCCTGGTTTAAAATTTAAACAATGTCTGCTGTTAACTGCCAACCAGCATCAATGGGTGCATTATCCATGGCAATGCTTCTACCAATCAAGCCCACTTGCCAACCAATCAGCACTCTCCTTTCATGTCAGTTTTCCCCCTAACTGGTATACTTGTAAAATGTCCCAATGAGTGCAAGATGAAAAATATTGACAAAATGTCTTTTTACAACAATACTCAAAATTCTGTATTACAAAACAATTTTTTTTTAAATGAACACCTGCAGTCTTGAGCAAAGTACTGCAGATTCTGGAAATCTGAAATAAAGTTTAAAACATTGGCAACACTCAGTGGGACAGACAATATATGTAGAGATAGAAATAGCTTAATATTTTAGGTCTGTGACCTCTCACTAGAACCGCTCAGTGTGACTTGAAGCCAAAACTTTTCTTCCGGAGACAAAGAATGCTACCAAAATGAGCATGCTTATTATATTTTTCAATAATTGATAATGTTAATTCCTCACTAAATCAATTCAAAATTACATTGTGTTTGCGTATGGTTGGATAACAGTTTCTGTAAAACAGAAAGCCATACAGAGCAGGTCAAATGTAAACGAATGGACTTATGGTTAATTGCTGTTTAATAGCTCAGCTTAATGAAAAGCCAAGCCAACAGATGAGAATGTCTTGAGATAAAATGCTATAACTTAAAAACAAGAATATTTTAAACTGATTTAGTTTTGTAGCACAATAAAAGTAAGAACCCTATGGATATGTGTCTATGTATGGAAATCAGACTCCATAGTGAGTTTTGTAGTCCTGTTTTTGTTTTGATCTTCTCAGATGTTTTAGCTGGGACATCTGAGACACGAGCTCATTATTCAGAGGTGACACAACATACACACTAAAGGGTTCACTGGTGCCACCTCTTCTTGCTAAAAAATGTGGCACGCTGGTAAGCCAAGGGCGACAAGCTGTACAAAAGGGACGATCTTATAAAGTGATTGATTTGTCAAAGAATGAATCAGAAGACAGTAGGAAGTGATGTTAGAAAGTCAGCATTACTTTCAAAGGAACTAATCAAGAATTGGGCATACCCTACCTAGTTAATCCAAAGTTGACCACTGACTGTTCATGCATTGTTCAAGTACTAATAAATCTACTAAAAGTTCAGTATGTCTCCAATCATACGTAGAGCCTGGTGGCTAATATAGGTTAGTAAGGTCCAAGCTTTAGTGGTTTCATGTAAAAGAAGGAAGATAGAACTCAAAAGAAAAACTTAAGTCAACAGAACAGAATGGAAGATCCATATCCAGTCAACCAATAATTCAAACAGGTATCTGGCAGCACTGAAAAGACTTCTGCTTTTATTAAGTTTTTTTTTTCTATTTGTTATATGTTTTACAGAATGTATCAAGTTTATGAAAATACTGTACAATTAATTCATTCAATTTTTACGACTAAAGTTCAAATGAACTCCAAAATCTTACATGGCTGCTCCACAGGTTTCCTTAATTAAATCAAATTCATAAAAATACTTGATAAATTTAGAAAACTTCATATGTAAACAACTGAGGGATTAAGGATTTTTTAAAAAAAAGTTAACCTTGTCCACTTCGAAAAGTGCAAAAATATCTTGAAAATTAATTAACAAATGTTGAGAGACCAATATTAAGCTGCGATTTTCTAATTTAGTACAAATTTTGGATTCAGCTTGTAAACTTGATGTTGTGAAATGTTAACACACAACACATTGAAAGATGGAAATGGTTTGCATGGTTAAATACTTACAAACCAGATATCTGAACTGCAGACTTAAAATGACACACGCAAAAATATGGAAGTGGTCATAACAACATCAAACTATCCTTCTCAATCACTCTAGTACAGAAATACATATAGCACTCTATCCCTAACTCGATCTTTGATGTATCATCATCTTTAAGTTTTCTTAATCTGGATATCTCTTTGTTAAAAATTATATATATATTCTGAGGAAAACTTAGTGCTGCCTTTTTTGAAATTTTCCAAATATTGTTGACGTGTTGCCAAGTTCAAAATCTTGACATGGTATAATTGTGAAATTAGAACATTAACTGGATCAGTTGTAACTAGTGTACTGCATATCATTTACATTAGCCCATATTTCTGTAGCAGTAATTTAGCAAAAATGCAGCATCCAGGTTGTTACTTCTGCAAAATGAAAAACAACTTTTGGAGTTTACACATGTGCAATTAAACTCCAAAATCCAGAAGCTCCTGTCAGTGACTCAACGCTTTTCCATATGGGGTGGTGAAGATCCCACTGACCGCAATCAATTAGGAAGTGATGGAACAGATAAGAACATGCTTTTTAATTCAAATTGACCCATAATAAAAACCCTTATGATAGCAATACCTTATTGAACAAGGTACAACAGGATTTAAATGATGTATCAACTTCATAATTAATGTTAAAAGAATCTTTCTGGCCGTGAAGAAAATGAATTCTATACTTGTGAAATGTTAAATCTCTTATTTCTCTGTTGGGATGAAACATGAAACTTTTCTTAAAAAAGTTAAAAGTTTATTTCCAGTATTTCAATTGCTATCTTAGTCCCATGTTTGAATCATTTATTTTGCTCTCTGTAAAATGTAATTAATAGTGTATTATAATCATGTTCCCAGTTTGTCGCCTGAAAATTTTCAAAGTGAGTGGCTGCTTACCTAGCTTGATACTACTATGGCTGGACACCTGGTGATCCCGGGAATAATTTTACACCACTGAAGAAAAAGTTGGCAGGCAGCTGACAAACTGAGAAGATAACTATCCAACTGCCATAACAAGCTGAACAGTGTTAAAAGTGGTAGGGAATTGGACATCTTTCCTCTCGGGAGGAAATCCATGCCCTTAAGTCATTGTCCAATCTGATTAGCCAGCAGCTTTAAGAGCTCGCCCAGTAGTGGATACTGATAAGCAGTCCTACTGAGAAAGCCCATTGGATTTCAGGGTGAAGTAAGTCAAAGATACTCGGCAGGGACTAGTGACAGACGTGCGTTTTAAAAAGCAGATTGCTAGGGATGAAGGAAGTTACAAACCTTGGGTTAGTGTAAATCAGCTATAGTGTCTTCCTGCCAGCTGCCCACATCCAACTGATTGCCCACGTAGTTTATGGCATGGGCAGTGTATTATTCAGATCAATTGCATATGGCAATCAGGCTTCCAACTTCTGCACCCACCAACTTAGTATATTATGGGCTGCTCAGGGTTGGAAGGTCATGGGCTTGCTACTTGAGGTGTCCCTGTCCCCTGAAAATATGTTCACTGGGGACATCTAAAATCCAGCTCCCCACATTATTTGCTACCAGATATAAATAATTGGGAAAAACGAAAACCTATTCACAGGGACTGCTAGGTCTTGGGGGCAGCCTCCTCAGTTCTATAGCAAGCAGAATTGATTCTCTGTTGATCAGTTTGGGCCATTGTTGTTACTATTATACTATAGTACAACATTTCAAAGAGCAAGGGAGTTACTCCTAGCATCAAAATCAATATTCTTATCTCAATTAACATCATCCAAAGAACAGATTATCTGTTTATTTATCACAGTTCTGTTTCTGGCAAATAGTAAATTGGCTACTGTATCACCTACAGCACTGACTACAAGTATTTTAATTAGCTATAAAGCACAGTGAGATGTCCTGAGGTCTGAAAAGCATTGTATCAATGCAAACCTGACTTTTCATTTTCTGTTTGTTATTCTAGCAAAATTAGAATAGTCCACAAAGCAGAGACATACAACTTTGTTCACAAGGAATCAGAGACAAGACACTAGATTTACAGCAAAATTCAAGGACCTGTCCTTCAGAAAAATTGACAATTGAAGGTTCATTTCAGGTTTAAATGTCAGAATTTTAACACATAGTAAAATTCAAATTTTAATATCAGCATGGACCTCTGATTTTAGTAATAAGTACCTCCTCCTGTTTATTTTTCTCCAGTGGATAAGAACCACCATGCTCTCCAGCACTGACTAAATTTATGACACTTGTTGAAGGAGAGTAGCCCAAGTCTTCAGCCTCTTTCATAAATACAGGTTTGTCCTCTTGTTGAATCCATTCCTGATAAACTTTAACAACTCTTCTCATGGCTGCAGCTTCACAGATGGGCAACAGAAAAGCCTAAGGAACATTAAAATATGCATGTTTATCAGTGTGATAAATAATTATTAACTAAACTAGATTTCATTTACTGTTTATAGACAAGTTACAAGTTAGATGGTGCTATTTTCTAAAGTTTAAAAAACTCTAACAATAGAAACAAACACAGAGCATGTGAGAGAAACTCAGAAGGTCTGGCAGCATCGATGAAGACAGAAACAGTTAATTGTTCATGTCCAGTATCACTGGTCTTCAGAACTTCTGAAGAATCATATTAGACTTGAAATGTTAACTTGTTCTATCTCCATAGATGCTGCCAGACCTTCTGAGCTTCTCCAGCATTCTGTGCTTATTTCAGATTTCCAGCAGCCACAGTATTTTGCTTATATTTTAATAATAGAAAAGTTTGTTCTTTTCATCCGGTTCCCATTGTCATCACTGGTCTATTTCAAACAGTACTAAAGATTTCCATTATATTTTAAGGTTGGGGTGGCAGGGCAATGACCTAGTGGTATTATTGCTACACTGTTAATCCAGAAATTTACCTAATGTTCTGGGGACCTGAGTTCATTAAAGAATTTGGAATTAAAGGTGTAATGATGAGCATGAAACCATCGTTGATTGTTGGAAAAACTCAACTGGTTCACCAATGTCCTTCTTACCTGGTCTGGCCTACATGTGACTCCAGACCCACAGCAATGTGGTTGATTCTTAGCCGCCCTTTGGGCAATTTAGGATGGGCATTAAGTGCTGGCTTAGCCAGAGAGGCCTACGTCCCATGATTGAATAAAAAAATTACTCTGCTGTCCATACAATTGGGAGAAGATTTTAACGTGATGGTCAGATAAGTTACTCCTCCTGTAGGCTAGATTTTAAACAGTAAACATGGAGTCAATTTTATAATGGAGGCATTACTTAAGAATCTCTGAGGGACACGACATATCACGCTAAACTACATAAACATTTAAGGAATTTACCTGTCGAAAAACCTCTATAATAAAATTCACGTTCTCTCTTGAGGAGTAGAAAACTTTGCGCACTATCTCCATATCTGTTAGATGCTCTTCATCAACACTACACAGACTAGATGAACTGGGCTCTCGCTCAGTTAGGGTGCTGGTGTTTGAATGGGATTGCTCCAGCTCTGCACTGCCATCTCCAGAGTCCCCTCGGCAGGAGCCCTCTTCACGGGCAGCCAAACCAGCAGCTGCTCTCTGGAGAAAGAAAATTATTTCATTAAAGAAAACCTTTTACACAAGAAATCAAAATAATTAGTCAGCTAATAATCACTCACCTGAATATTCTTTGGTATATTTTCACCTTCAACTCCAGGAATCTGGAGTCCTAGATTGGCTTTTGGCTCAAACCAGAAAGATACCAACCAACGGATGACTGACACACGAGCAGACAAAAATGTGTCTTTTGTAGAATACGTTGTTTCGTTTGTCTCTGGATCTTTCTTTGTCATAATATAACAGGGCTTTGACCTCAATTGTGGGACATCTGCAAACAAATGTTTTTTAATTCTCACAAAAAAAATTATTCTACATGGAATTTTTCAGTAAAATTATAATACATTCACACAGTCTTGGCATTACTGCTTCATATGTTCAGAGATGAAAAATAACACAAATAGGTCATTCAACCCGTTGAACACATTCCACTATTCACTTAGATCACGGCTGATAAAGACCACAACCTAACCTTTGTTCCATACTGCTTGATCCAATCAAAAACTACTTTGTTATTAATTTTGATTGATTGAGCATGAACAAAGCATGGAAAATTTACAGATTTTCATTAACCATTGAATGAAAATGTGCCTTCTGAGCTTTTATTTAAAACCAGAAAGGAACAACAAGCCTCTGATGTACTTGAACAAATTCTTGAAATTTGATGGAAGTTGATGGAAGATCCAGAAATTATTGTCCCAGTTTATATCAAAAACAGTGCACCGAAATTATGTCACGTGATGGAAATATCAAATTTTGTAAAACAACTGCAGTTACAGCTCATGATAGGGGGTGGTTAGCTGGTTTGCAATGCAGTCTTGCCAACAGCAGGGGTTCAATTCCTGCCCTGGTTCAGATAACATGAAGATTTGTCTGTCTCAATCTCTCTCCTCACCTGAGGCATGGTGACCTGCAGGTCTAACCATCATTCTCTATAGCTTGGTTTGACTATGGCGACTTTACCTTGATTTTTCTCTTGCTAACAATAAATGAATTCAAAACACTCGCACCAGTCATTCAAAGATTTCAGCAAATGAATCAGCATAGCTTCATGAAAAGGAAATCATATTTGACAAATTTATCAGTTCTTTGAGGAGGTGACAAGTATGGTAGGTGAAGGGGAACCAGTAAATATATTTGAATTTCCAAAAAGCATTCAAGAAGCTACTGCACATAAGGTTACTTAACTGTGTTGAGTGCAATATATCAGCATGGATAAAGAATTGGTTAACTAATAAAAGAGAGTTGTGAGACAGGGGCATTTTCAGATTGTCAACCTGCAGCTTGTGGAGGGCCATGAGGGCCACAATTAATTATAGCATATTTTAATAAGTTAGGCAACAAAAGTGAAAGTAAGATAGTCAAGTTTGCAAATGACACAAAAATAGGTGAGAAGGCAATTAGAAAGGATTACAGTCTACAGGCAGGTTAAGTGTGTGGGCAAAAACTTGGCAGATGAAAAACAATGTGGGAAATGTGAGGTTATGCACTTTGGCAGGAAGAATAGATGAATTGAGTATTATTTTAATTGGGAAAGACCGCAGAAAGCTGCAGAAGACGTGGGGATCCTACTGCCTGCATCACAAAATGGTAACATCCTGGTTCAGCAAGTAATAGGGACGGCAAATGGAACAGTGATCCTTATTTCAAAGGGAGTGTAAAAAGATAAAATTATACAAGGCACTAGTGAGACACAGCTGGAATGCTGTGTAGAGTTTTGGTCTCCTACCTAAGGAAAGGTATACTGGATTGGAAGGAGTCAGAAGGTTAACCATGTTGATCCGAGGTATACAGGAACTGTTGTATGAGTAGTTTGAACTTGTAATCATTGGCGTTTAGAAGAATGGGAAGAAACATATAAGATTCTTAAGGGGCTTGACAGGGTAGACACAGAGTATGTTTCTTCTTGTGAGAGAGTCAAGGACCAGAGGGCATAACCTCAGAGTAAGGGGTTACCCATTTAAGACAAAGATGAGATGGAATTTTTTTTCTCTATCAAAGAGTGGTAAACCTGTGGAATTCATTACCACAAAGAGCTGGTTAGGCCAGGTCATTAAGTATATTCAAGGCTTAGACAGACAGACGTCAAATCATTTAGGGAACTAAAAGGCAATGGAGATAAGGCAGGAAAGTGGAGTTGAGAATTATCAGATCAGACATGACTCATTCAGTGGCAGTCAGGGTAATGTTTAAAAACAAACAAAGAATCAGGGTGAAAAAAAACAAATTATTTGACAAATTTCAGTGAAACTTGGTACATAGATAGGGTATGTACCAAGGAAGAATGAATCAGTTTTTCCGATTATATAGATCTGTTGTAGAGACAATTTGCTTCTATAAAGAATGCAATTGATGATTTTACGAATGCTGAGGATCATCTCAGCTCGTGATGCAATCTGTTATACTGTCAAAATGTGAACAGAGCTTTCAGAACAAGTTGTTAGTTGTAGTTTGGCCTGGAGCTTTCTCAATGAGATGGAGGCTCTTAATAAAAATACTCCTTGCACAGAGATCTCATTTCGATGAAGCTATGGGCTAAAAACGGAAAAAGATACTGCTTTAAACCAAGGAAACTTGTAAGAAGATATTTCCATTTTGACAGGCGAGTTACTAGAATACATTATGAGTTGTATCTACAATATTCCTTTATTCAAGCAGTGAAGGAGAATTCCAGATTGAATGGCACTACTGTGTGTTCAAGCAATTTTGCTCAGAGTCAGTCTTATGAATGGCTTTTCACTTGAGACCAGTTGCTCTGGGCTCAGGAGAACTCATTATAGTAACAACCAACTGATTGGTTCCTGGGCAGGTGGCTGTATAGCCTTGAATGTGGACAATACAACTGAAACAGCCAGCCTGCAAAAAGAAAGCATTAACCTCTCTCTTCTCTCTCTCTCCCCCCCCCCCCCCACCGTGGAGAAGTAAAAGAAGATCCCTAGTAGCTAGCTACTCTCCTGCACCTTTCCCTTCAAGTTGATCCTTTTATAAACCTTTGTTGAAAGGAAAAAGGGGAGAAACCACTTTCAGAGGCAATAAAAGGACAAATCCTCAACCAGTGAATGAAAGACTGAGCATTGGTGTATCCACAACCCCATGTCATTAGCAAAGAGTTGAAAGAAATCCCAAACAAAACAAATCATTGGTGTCTGTGATTCTGAATGGTGGCAGAACTGTGCTGCTGACAGTCTTTTATTCCCACCCACAACGCATTTGCCTTGTCTCATGACTTTGTGTCGATTTGAATGCCCATGAGAATTTCAAGAAAGGAGGTAGAGATCAAGTGAGAGAACTACAGATTAGAAATTGAACTTGTCTCCCTTTTTGCCTTTGGTTAAAACCACCTACCTGGCAGTGTGTTGCAGGCACCTACACCCTCTATGTAAACTTTTCTCACACATCTCTCTCAAATTTTTCTCTCTCACCTTAAACCTACACCCCTTAGTATTTGGCATATCCACTCTTTCATAATTTTATATACTTATATCAGGTTGCCCTACCCTTCCCCAACTCCCACCCGCACCATCTGACCCCGCCCCACCTGACCCCATCCCCTCCACCTGACCCCATCCCCCCGACCCCACCCTATTCCCCCCCACGCACACCTCACCTGACCCCAACCCCCCCACCCACACTCCACAACAAGCCCCCCAACCCAAGTAAAGGATCAATCATAGCCCTTCCTGAGTGTTAGCCCTATAAAAACAAGATAAAATTCAAAACGTCTAAAACGCAACCTAATATTGCTGTAGAATTTCAAGACGAGGCTAATATTCCATGTCTGACCAACATACACGATATTCTGATATGCTGCATAATCTTCAAGTAATAAATTGGCTGGATTATTCTACGAAGAAAGATCAACAGGTTTGGGTATTGAGTGACAATTGAGCATGGTAGAGGTCATCAACAGTGCTGTCAAGTAGCACTTGCTGAGTAATAAACTACTTGCTGATGCTCTTCAAGGGTCACAGTTTGTCACCTCATTGCAGACTTGGTCCAAATATGGGCAAAAAGAGGTGAAGGGAGAGAAGCGGCCCTTGACATCACTGTAGCATTTGACCAAGCATGGCATCAAGGAGCCCTAGCATACCATTAGTCTATGAGAATCAGGGAAAAATTATCTGCTGCTTAGAGTCATACCTAGCACAAAGGAAGATGGTTGTGGTTATTGAAGGTCAATCACCTCAGTCCCATGAAGTTACTGCAGGATACTCTCAGGACATATTTTTTGTCAATCTGTTCAGACATGTTATGACACACTTCTCGAGGAGGTGGACTTGAACCCAGGCTTTTTGGCTCAGAGGTAGGGGCATTATCACTGAACCAGTGTCTTAGACTCAACCATCTTCAGCTACATCAGATCACAAGTGAGGATCCCCACTGACAAGTGAGGACCTGTTGTGATGCACTGCCCCTGGCCCTGGACCAGGAGGCCTGAGTTCAAGACCCACCTGCCTCAGAGGTGTGTAATAACAGCTCTGAACAGGTTGATTAGAAAATATTCACTGTTAAGTAGACTCATGCTCTTGTGGCACACTAGTAGTGTCCCTGCCTCTGAACAAATAGTCCTGGGTTCAAGTCCCACCTGCTGTAGAAGTGTGTAATGACATCTCTGAATGGGTTGATTCAAAAAAGTAATTAAATTCACTGATTAGCTTGTTGTGGAATAATGGTTGTTTCCCTACTTCTGAAGCAACCCTAGGTTCAAATTCTACCTGCTCAAGAGGTATGCAATAACACAGCTGAAAAGTTTGATTTAACGCCTTTCTTATAAATGGGGCTGTTGTGCTGCAGTGACAGTACCCCCATCTCTGAGTCAGAAGGCCGAGGTTCAAGTCCCACCTGTGTATGTGTGGTCTGAAATGACACCTGAACAGGTTGCTCTGAAAATACCTTCACTACTAATTATACAATGTGCCTTATCATTTGTCATGCTCTAGCTACTAGGGGAGCCCATGTCATATACAGCAATACCTGGACAATACTGAAGCTTGGGCTGGTAAGTGGCAAGTAATATTCACTCTACACAAGTGCCAGGTAAGGATCATCTCCAACAAAAGAGAACCTAACCATCACCTCTTGGTTTTCAATGGCATCACCCCACTTAATGATCCACTATCAATATCCTGGGGGAGGGGGAAGAGAGGAGAGAGGTTATGATTAACCAGAAACTGGAGTGGACTAGCCATATAAATACTATGGCTACAGAAACAGATCAGAGGCTAGGGATTCTACAGCAGGTAATTCACTTCCTGTCTTCCTAATGCCTTCTCACTATTAACAAGGTACAAGTCAGAACTGTGGTGGAATAATCTCCACTTGCCTGGTTGATTTTAGCTCCAACAATACTCAAGAAGCTGGTCACCACCATGTCAAAGTGGCTTGTTTGCTTGGTACTCCATCCACCACCTTCAATATTCACCCCCCTCACTACTGACACACAAAGGCAGCTTGTGTACAATCAACAATATGCACTCCAGCAACTCACCTAAGCCTCCCAAAACAGCTTCTAAACCAATGACTTTGACCACCTGAAAGGACAGGTGCATAAGGACACCACCAACTGCTCGCGCCTCTCCAAATCTCTCAGAATTGTAACTTTAGATGGTATCATCATTCCTTTTCTGTCAGAGACAAAATTCGGCAACTCCCCTCCTAACAGCACTAATACTACAAGAATTACAGCAGTTCAAGAACAGCTCGCCACCATTTTTACAAGGCCAGTTAGGAGATAAATACTAGTCAAACCAGAATTACCCACATCACAGGAACAATACAAAAGCTAACTGAAACAAAGTTCTTTCAAGGCTTGACAGGATGGATAGAAAAAGAATGATCTCCTGGCTCAACAGTCTACATCCAGGGGACAGAATAGGAAATTAGAAACTGTTCATCGAGGACTGAGGTCAGGAGGGATTTCTTAACTGAAATGGTGGAAAATCTTTGGAATTCTCAACCCTAGAAGGTTGTAGATGTTCATTCACTGAGTATGCTGAATACAGAAATTGACAGATTTCTAAATATTAAAGATATCAAGAGCTGTGGGGATTCTGCAGCAAAATAGGGTTGAGGTGGACTATCAGCCGTGATAGCTAAAATTAGGGCCTTGGGTAGTACTGTAGAACAGAGAGACCAAAGGGTTCAGGTATATAATTCTTTGAAGTTTGCGTCACATGTAGGTAGGGTAGTTAAGAAGGGGTTTAGCATCTTTGCCTTTGTTGCTCAAGCTATGAGTGTAGGAGTTGGGATGTCATGTTGGGGTCGTACAGGACATTGGTAAGGATTCTTCCAGAGTACCGTGTGCAGTTTTGGTTGCCCTGTTACAGGAAGGATATTATTAAGCTACTGAGAGTTCAGAAAAGATTTACCAGTATGTTTCTGGGAATGGAAGGTTTCAGTTATAAGGAGAGGCTGGATAGGCTGGGACCTTTTTTCACTGGAGCATAGGAGGTTGAGGGATGACCTTACAGATAGTTATAAAATCATGAGGGATATAGATAAGTTGAATGGCAGGTGTCTTTTCTCTGTTATGGGGATTTCAAGACTAGGGGGCATTTTTTTTAAGATGCAAGGAGAGAAATTTAAAAAAGACGAGTGCCAACGTTGTCTTTTAAACAGAGAATGGTTCTTGTGCGGAATGAACTTCCAGAGGAAATGATGGATGTGGGTACAGTTGCAATATTTAAAAGACAAACAGAGATTAGTATAATTATATTTGATATGTCAGGGTGGTTTTTAAACAATAATATCACACCCATAACCCTCTAAACACAAATATCTGATTTTATGTATACATACTCAGACAAATTAAAGTATTACTCTTACCAAGGATTGGGTTAAACAAGCTGGTCTCCATTGAAAAATTGGGAAATATGTGAGGCAGATAGTACTTCTTGAAATTTGCAAATAAGAATGCAAACCCTTTCTCCTGATTTTCCTTGTCTTTCCATTCTAATCCCTTTGCCTATGAACAGAATTATATGGAAGTTATTTATGATCACATAGTATACAGCAAAAATTACACATAGAACACAACAGAAAAGAAAATCCTTTCAGAGATAATAGGAACTGCAGATGCTGGAGAATCTGACATAACAAGGTGTAGAGCTGGATGAACACAGCAGGCCAAGCAGCATCAGAGGAGCAGGAAAGCTGATGTTTCGGGCCTAGACCCTTCTTCAGAAAAATTTTCTGAAGAAGGGTCTAGGCCCAAAATGTCAGCTTCCCTGCTCCTCTGATGCTGCTTGGCCTGCTGTGTTCATCCAGCTCTACATCTTATTATCTCAGAAAAGAAAATCCTCATAGTTTTTAAGCCTGATGAAGCTCCAAAGAGTACTTTGAAGATATATTACTTTTCATAATAAACAGAACTAATCCAAATACTCTTTTCATTGGGGTGACATGTAACATGATTCAGGGAAAGAAAAAATCACAGCCTTTATCTAGCCACTTGATTACATTACTATTTTCAGCATAGTTCATCCAAATGTTACACAAAAAAGCAGAATTTCAAGTACAAAACAATTCCAGTTCAAACAGTTTCCGTGAGCTTTTTAAAAACCGAAAGACTGCGGATGCTGTAAATCAGGGACAAAAACAGAAGTTGCTGAAAAGCTCAGCAGGTCTGGCAGCTTCTGAGAAGAAAAATCAGAGTTAACGTTTTGGGTCAGGTGGCCCTTCCAGTTGAGATGGAAGGGGAGAAAGAGAGAGAGAGAGAGAGAGACAGAGAAGACATAGAGAGGGAGGGAGGTGGAGGGAGAGAGAGGAAGAATGGGGGAGGTGCAAAAGAGAGAAGGGTGTTGGATGGGGGGAGGGGAGAGACAGACACAGCAGAAGATACAAATTTTTTCAAAGGGTTCAGCTCAAAAACAGTCTGGGAACTAACATGACAAAGTGAAATCAAGATCAACATTGTTGTTGGATTAAAATACACAGTCATTTCTAGTTTAGTGGTTGAGTAACTAAACTTAAAGTTTTTTAACAAATGGTTTAGTAGGGTTAGTACTATAAAGCTTCTACCTGGATTACCATATATTTTAGCAGTGCATCAAGAAAGTAGCTTGTAAGATCATCTTGTCCTTTGTCTCCAGATTGTGGGGGCACAAGGGGAGTGATTTCTTCTGGAGTAACTTGAGCTGTCAGGTAGATATAGATGTATAACATGAACCATGTCAAAAATACTTCACTGTGAATACATATATATTTTATTCAAGGACAAGAATTTTTTTAAAAATTCATTCATTGGGTGAGGGCGGTGCTGGCTAGGCAGCATTTATTGCCCATCCCTAATTGCCCAGAGGGCAGTTGAATAGTCAACCACATTGCTATGGGTCTGGAGTCACATGTAGGCCAGACCAGGTAAGGATGGCACTTTCCTTCCCTGAAAGGCATTATTGAACCAGATGCACTTTTCCAACAATCAACAACAGTTTCACGGTCCTCCTTAGACTTTTTGTTCCAGATTATTTTTTATTGAATTCAAATTCCACCATCTGTTGTGACAGGATTTGAACCTGGGTGCCCAGAACATTATCTGGGTCTCTGGATTAACGCTTTAGCAACAATACCACTAGGCCATCCCAATATTATGCTCCTATATTATCACCGACTCAAATCTGTCTTTACAACACAAGTTTAGTATCCTTTATTCGCATTGGTTCATTATAAATTGCTAAGTTGCGTTTTGTTTGAAATCATCAAGATTGCTGAAAAATCTATCATATCAGACTTGAAGCATTATTTCAATTATGTAAGTTGATTCAAGGCATTTAAACTGTACTAGTGCTGCACCATAATGTGGAAAGAAAAGAAAAAGATTTCAAAATATTAGTGAGAGGCATAACAGAAAATGCATAGCTCTTACTTTCTTGAAAACAGAATGTGGAATTGATCAGATTGTCCAGTGTTCGAGGTCCCTGCTCTGAAGGTAGTGGTGGGAAACCAGGAATAAGACAGGCAAAAATATGGAGTTGTTCTTCAGTGCAATTGTGTTGGAGTGCTTGCATCCATAACAAAAAGAGACGTACACCTTCTCTCCTTATCTGAAATGGATTGAAAATTTATTCAAACTTATTGATAAAATCTTGATTTTCATTACATAGCTAATAAATTCAATAACACAATTAAGGGCTTATAGAAGATAAAGCAAGCACTTGGTCATGGAACTTATGAAACACTCCGTGTTTGAAGTACAATTCAAAGGGCTGGACTTCACTAAAGGGGACATTAAGTTTTTAACAAGATAAACATATCAAAAACAATCAATCCTTATAATCAAAAGAAAGCACTGTGATAACAAATATTTCAAAAGATGCAAAACATGATTAATATGAAAACAAATTTTAAAATGCATTTCATCACACTGGGTTCCAGGATATTTCTAATGATGATTTTTAAAAAATCTGCAAAACCTTCAAGGAGTTCCCGAAATGAAGGAGTTTCTTTAAAATCAAGCCTGCAAAAGAAAAGAAAAACATTTGCAACATTGAAGAAAATATCTCAGAAACATTGTAAGGACAAAATGTCCGAGATTTCGGTCAGACTTGGTAAATACTTATAATCAAGTCCTTGGCATTCTCTGCATTACTCTTGGTAACCTTTCTACCCTTTAGCATTATTTTATTGCCAAAAGGAAAAGGAGAGATCACCATTTTATGCAAGTTGTTTGACTACTAAATTACTATCTTTAAATATACATAGTCATACATATATTTCCACCTGCCCTTTTTTAATGCTCCTGAAAATGACTGCATTGAAGACTTGATTCAGAAATATTCAGAGGATATAGTCTTGAAATTAAGCAAGTGAAAATGAAAATCACAAGTAATCTTTCTCAGCAAAATATTAGCTGTAAGAAGATTTAAAGTTTTAGTAAAGATTTGTAGCTCAGGTTGTGGGTGAGGTTGTTGACATGTTCGCCAAGCTGGCTTGTTTTCGTTCAGACATTTCGTCACCATGCTAGGTGACATCATCAACGAGGCATCCAATGAAATGATGTTGTTCTACTCCGCTTGGAATTTATACTGTCATATACAAACCCATATAGATCAAAAACCGGAAATGACACTACTCACCGTAACAAACCAGACAGTATAAATTCCAAGTGGAGTAGAACAATATCGCTTCATTGGAGGCCTCACTGCTATGTCATCTAGCATGGTGATGAAACGTCTGAACGAAAATAAGCCAGCTCAGCGAACAAGTCAACAACCTCAGTTATAGGAAGACTTCTGTCATGCCATACATGTGGAATGTCATTATTCAGAACCAGTGTTGATCATTTGTGAACTATATCTTGGAAACAGAGGATTGAAATAAGGCTTACTATGATAGACAAAAATTGGAAGGGTGTTAAATAGCTGAATTATAATTTCCTTAGCTGACAAGGTTGGAGTTGAACTCATGGTCCTGGAGCATAATCTAGTGATCAAATATCTGGACTATGCTAACATTAAAAAAGTTGCAGCAAATTAAAATTACTGAGAAAAATAAAGCGACTGAAAAACAACAAATCTGCTGATCCAATGATCTCCACCTAGGCTTTCAAATAAAAAAAAGGTAGCTGCAAAGATAGGAGATGCACTTTTGTTGTAATTTTCAAATATTCCCCAGATACTGGGGTAATCCCAGTAGGCTGCAAGGTAACAAACGCAATACTGGATTCAGGAAGGGAGGGCCAGGAAAACTGGAAGCTGCAGGTCAATTAGCCCGATACATGATCAGGAAAATGCTAAAGCCAATTACTAAAGAAATGATAATGGGACTCTTAGAACATCACATTTTAACACTGAGGCAACAGAGTTTTAATAAAGGGAAGATCAGGTTGGCAAACGAGACTTTTTTTTTTAAGGACGTAACTCACAGGCTGGATAAAGGGGACAGAATGTTTAGATTTTCAAAAGGCATACAATAAAGTACCATGAGAGAGGTAATTGCATGAGATGGCATGGATAGAGACTGATTAAATGACAGAATTGAAAACAGTTGGAATAAACAGGTAATTTTCAGGTTATGAAGTTGTTCCTAGTGCAATGGCACAAAGGTCAGTAGTGGGGCCTCAGTTGATTACACTGCATTTTAAGGATTTGGATGAAGAGACCAAATCTAATTAATCCTAGTTGGTTGATAACACAAAGCTAGGTGGCATAATATGCAGGTTAGAGGACACAATTTGCAAAGGGATATAAATAGATAAAATGAATGAGGAGTAAAGTAGCAGATATAGAGTGTGGAGAAGAGTATGAAGTTATTCATTCACTTTGGGAATATTTTTTCAAGATTCTCAGAAACCATTAAACATTGATTTCCAGAGGACTTTGGTTATTCTTCTACATAAAACATAGAAATTGAACATTAACAGGACATAAATAACTGTTGCCCAATAGTACAAGGGAGTTGGAGTACAGATTAAGGAAGACTTGGTTTAATTGTATAGAGCTTAAATGCAGCCAGATCTGGAGCTCCAGGTAAAGCTTTGGTCACAATTCCCAAGCAAAGTTCATCCAACTGATTCCCTGGACAAGAAAATTTTCTGTGAAGAGACTGATTTGAATGGGCCTATACTCTCTAATATTTAGTAAAAAGTTATTGAAACATAACAAGACTCTGTGTGGCATGATGGATTAGATATAACGGCTGTTTCACGTGTGAGTGTAGAACTGGACAGTACAGTCTCTGGACAAGGGAACAGCCATTTAGGGCTGAGCTGAGGAGTGATTTTATTCACCCAGAAAGTTGAGTGTCTGTGGATGTGCAGTTACTTAGTATGATCAGGGCTATTACAATTTTTCAATTCTCAGCGAAGTAGAGAAAGATGGTACAAGAGATTTGGAATACAGAACAAGGAAGACTTGCTGCAATTGTACAGACCTTGGCTGCAGTCTTACAAAAACAAAAGTAAAATCATAGTAAGCGATTCGGGTCCAGTGACCCTTCTCAGGCCCGAAACATTAACTTTGATTTTTTTTCTTCACAGATGCTGCCAGACCTGCTCAGCTTTTCCACCAACTTCTGTTTTTGTTCCTGATTTCCAGCATCCACAGTTGTTTCAGTATTTATCTGGATGCGGCCTTACCTGGGCAGGAAAGTGCATTTGAGATTGTGGATCAGAAAGGATGATACCAAATATCAGAGCAAGCTCTGGGTGTCCTATGATCTATTCCTGCTCCAATTTCTTAGTGCTAGCTGAAAACTTTGCAATTTTTTAGGCTATTGACTACACAAGGCTGCTGCAAAGAACACAGTTAAAGATATACATTCACTCTTTTGAAAAACATGATTGGTATAATCAACATTCAAATAAACAACATTTAAACTTACCTATACTGTGAAACTGCCATCTGCTCTGAATTCTTTCTGGAAGGTGTTGTAAAATTTTCTGTGAAGAAGAATGTAAAAAAGAATATTTCAATTTGGATCAAGTTTGGATATAAAGGCAGCAAATAAAAAAAATACAAAAAGCTTGTTCTGTAAAAACTTAACTTACACGTCTCCAAAATAGCATATTCTGATTTTCCACTAAGAAATTGTAAATTGGAAATGCATTTTTGTGCACAACATTATAACTTTCCGACAAATACATAACCATTAAAGTCTTATCATCCATGTAATGGATGTACACTATGTTGATCTTTATAATGGACATCCTATACAGGATGGGCAAAAATGTCCATAAATTAAGCACTGGGAAGACAGAAGCCATTGTTTTTGGACCCTGGATAATCCCTGTTCCCTAGCTGCTAACTCCGTCTGTTTCCCTAATCACAGCGTGAGGTATTCCCAATCGGTTTGCAACTTTGGGGTCACCTTTGATTTAGGAGGGACTTCTGACCTTATTTCCTCCCCTACTAAGATCATTTGTTGCGACTCCCATAATATTCCCCCTGTTTTAGCTCAACTGGTACCAAAAGCCTCATTCATGCCTTTGTTATGTAGTCATACAGCATTGAAACAGACAGACCCTTTGGTCCAATCAGTCCATGCCAAACATAATCCCAAACTAAACTAGTCCCACCTGCTTGCTCCTGGACAATATGAGGGTAAATTTATGTCAGATATGTGGGAGTATTTCAAATGGTAGTTGATAAGAGTTCAGGAGCAGCACATTCCTGTGAGAGTGAAGGATAGGTATGGCAAGTTACATGAAGCTTCGATGACCAGGGATGTTATGACCTTGGTCAGAAAGAAAAAAGAAATATACGTAACGTCAAGAGGCATGGGAACTGATGAAGCCCTTGAAGTATATAAAGAAAGTAGGAAATAAATTAAACAAAGGAATTAGAAGTGCTAAAAGGGGTCATGAAAAGTCATTAGCAAACAGGATTAAGGAAAATCCCAAGGCTTTTTATACATATATAAAAGGCAACAGGATAGCCAGGAAAAGGGTTGGCCCACTCAGGGACAAAGGAGGGAATTATGTGTGGAGCCAGAATACTTTGTGTTGGTATCACCAAAGAGAAGGAATTGTTGGCGGATGATCTCAGGGAAGGGAGAGTTGACTTTCTAAGCCAAGTTGCTACTAAAAAGGAAGAGGTGTTCTATGTCTTAAAACGTATTAAGGTAGATACGTCCCCGGGTCCTGATGGGATCTACCCTAGAATATTGAGGGAGGCAAGAGAACAAATTGCTGGAGCATTGATAGACATCTTTGTATTCTCATTGGCTACAGGTGAGGTCCCATAGACTGGAGAATAATCAATGTTGTTCCATTGTTTAAGAAGAGTAGCAGGGATAATTCTGGAAATTACAAGCTGAGAGTCTCACGTCGGTGGTAGGGAAATTATTGAAAAACATTCTCTGGGACAAGATTTATACGCATTTAGAATCAAATGGACTTAACACTGATAGACAGCATGGTTTTGTGCAGAGGAGGTCGTGCCTCACTAACTTGATTGAGTCTTTTGAGGAGCTGACGGAGATGATCCATGAGGGAAAAGCAGTTGACGTTGTCTACATGGATTTCAGTAAAGCCTTTGACAAGGTCCCTCATGGCAGACTGGTTCAAAAAGTGAAGTCACATGGTATCAGGGGTGAACTAGCAAAATGGATATAGAACTGGCTTAGTCATAGGAGACAGAAGGTAGCGGTGGAAGGATGCCTTTCAAAAACTCTAGACACAGGTTCAAGGTGCGAGGCGGGGAGGTAAGTTTAAAAGAGATGTGTGAGGCAGGCTTTTCACACAAAGGATGATGAGTGCCTGGAATGCGTTGCCAGAGGTGGTGGTGGAAGCAGATACAATAGCAGCATTCAAGAAGCACCTGGACGAATATATGATAGAAAGGGAATAGAGGGATACAAATCCTGTAAGTGAAGACAGTTTTAGTGTGGAAGGGCAAAATGTGGCAGCGCAGGCTTGGAGGGCCAAAGGGCCTGTTCCTGTGCTGTACTGTTTTTTGTTCTTTTATTATATCCCTCCTATTCATGTACTTATCTAAGTGTTTTTTAAATGTTGTAACTGTGCCCAAATTCACCACTTTCATTCTACATGCGAACAGCCCTCTACAAAAAAAATTTGTCCTTATGTCTTTTTTAAAATCGCTCTCCTCTCACCCTAAAAATATATCCCCTAGTCTTGAAATTCCCTACCATAGGGAAAAGTCATCTACCATTAACCCTATCTATACTCCTCATGATTCTATAAACACGTACAAGGGTCACCTCTCAGTTTCCGATGCTCCAGTGAAAAAGTCCCAGCCTATCCAGCCTTTATTTATAAGTCAAACTTTCCATACCCAGCAACATCCTTATAAATCTCTTCTGAACCCTCTCTAGCTTAATAATATCCTTCCTTAAACTGGGCAACCAGAACTGGACACTCTACTCCAGAAGAGGCCTCACTAATGTAAAATCTCAACAAGACTTCCCAACTCCTATACTCAAAGGACTGAGCAATTACCTTTAGACTAGACTATTTCAAAGCATTTTCTACACTCTTTACACTCTTTCTCACTTCACCTGATGAAGGGACTACACTCCGAAAGCTTGTATTTCAAATAAACCTGTTGGACTATAACCTGACTATAACTATAACCTTTTCTGATGAAGGGTCTAGGCCCGAAACGTCAGCCTCTCTGCTCCTATGATGCTGCT